TGCGGTGGTGCTCCCGCCAAGGGTTCGGATCCCACATACAGACCGGCCCACTCACTGGCTGAGCGAGGTGTGGGAGCAACGCCGAGGCTTGCGGTCCCGTTGCCGGTCCCCGGTCCGGTACGGGGGCAACACTGAGGGTTGCGATCCGTTGCCGGACACGGAAAAAAGATAAAAGACAAAAAAAAAAAAAAACTACAGTAGAAAGTTCAAAGCACAGTAAAATACATAAAGAAAGCAAAAACCAAACGGTCAGAAATTACTAACTTACTAATTAGAATAATAACAAAAGTAGAACCAGATGCTGCAAAATGGGTTTATATGCCAGGAGACTTATTACGATATAATGTACTATATTTTCCTTCTTTCAAATTTATTCACTCAGAATGAACTTGGTTAAAAAAATATTAAGTTATAGTATAGAACAGACCTTTTAATAGCAAAACTACAGTCCGTGACAATATAACAGTTTTATATAAAAATTCTGTAAAAGGAAACATAAGAAATGAATGACAGTAGTTGTCTCACAGCATTTTCTTTCTTATAGTTTGAATTGTTTCCCAGGTATAATGGAAAGATTTCTTTTTCAATTACTAAATCGCTTTCTTACATTCTGTTTATAAATACCAAATAAGTAACAATTTACTTTCATCATCTTCTTGGTTTCACGATTGAGAACCATCTCCAATACAAATACATCGCCTGCAGTGGGTTGCTCAGGTGTTTCTTCCTCCTCCTCCTCTTCTTCCTCCTCATCATCTTCAATCTCTCCAAGCATGGAAGCAAAGACCTTGTGAACTGACTTACTCACTCCGTCTGATGTTTCTCCTGAGGGAAGAAACATTGGAGTAGCGCAAAAAAAAAAAAAAATTCAAAACACTCAGTGGTCAAAAAAGAAAAAAGAAAAAATATTTTCTGGCGTATAGATTGTACCTCAGTAACACCACACTTGAAAGTAAAAAATAGTAAATGAAACCCTCAAAAAAAAAAACAACCCAAAGAAGAAAGCTGTCATGAAGCCATGTACTGTACCACTGTACTCTGTAGGAATGGTTGACTCATCCTTCAGGCTTCATCCAGATATACAGGCAAAATTAAGTGGAAAATCCGAAACACATACGGTAATAGTTAAAAGCAGAGCAGAAAAAGAAAATAAAAGAATTATAAGATATAGATCAAAGAAATAAACAAGCTTGGTGATACGGAACCTAGGTGGTATAGCATAGTGGTTAAATCTGAGGACTCTGGAGCCAACCTGTCTGGTTTCAAACTTTTTCTCCATCTAACACTAGCTGCATAACTTTGGGAAAATTACTGAAGCTCTCTGTATCTCAGTTTCCTCATTTGTTAATAATAATGTCTGCTTTACAGAGTTTCTCTGAGGACAAAATGAGTGTGTATATACACATACATATAAGAGGGCAATTTAAAAAATTCGTGGAAAATCTGAATTAAAAGATAATACAAATCTTTCCATGAACTTTTGAAGTACCCTCATATATGCCTAGAATAATGCCCAGCATATAGTAACATCTCACTAAATGCTACTATTAGTATTAAATAACATTATTATTTCAGAAACAAAATAACATGACATACTTCATTTATATCTTAGGATATCACTACAATACAATGATTTTTGTATGTTCATAATAATGATCTTGAATGATCAGGAAAAGGTTAAGTTCAGAAGCCAATTTTCTGTTAAATAAAGCAGAGACATGTAACATATTTTAGAAAAAATCCAATACAATAATTTATATATATTTGTGTTTAAAAACCCTTAAGTTTATTCACTTACGTGAAATACTTTACATCCCAAAGATGCTGGATAAATGAGATGAGCAATGTTTAAGGAAGATTTTGAAAGCCACATATTCTGAGCAACAAATAAGTAATTATTTTTATGAAGTCATAAGAATCATATTCAAGGATTTTAAATATCCAAAATAAAGATGAAAAGAAATGTGTAAAATTTATCACAGGAACTGAAAAGGAGAAAAATCATAAGATCTTCTAGATAAAAGCATCTAATAAAATCCAACACCCATTCCCCGTAAAAATTCTCAGTCAACTAGATATGAAAGGGAATATCTTTAATCTGATGAAGAGTATCTACAAAAAAATTGTCCTCAAACAAGTTAATGGTAAATTATTGAAAGTTACTAGACATAAGACAAAGATGCCTGCTATCACCACTTCCATTCTACATTTTACTGGAGATCCTAGCCAATGCAATAAGAGAAATAAAAGGCATAAAGGTGGCAAGGAAAAAATGCAATTATCATACTCACAGAGGACATGATTATGTATGTAGAAGATCCAAAATAATCTGCATACAAACTGTCAGAATACAGTCATCCCTTGGAATCTGCCAGGGATTGGTTCCAGGACCCCCCTCAGATACCAAAATCTGCAGAACCTCGAGTCCCTTGTATAAAATGGAATTGTATTTGCAGATAACCTACATACATCATTCTGTGTACTTTAAATCATCTCTAGATTACTTATAATACCTAATACAATGTAAATGCTATGTAAATAGTTGTTACACTGTATGGGTTTTTTATATCTGTATTTTTTTTATTGTTGTATTATTTTTTCCCCCAAATATTTTCAATCCACAATTGGTTAAATCCACAGACATGGTACCTGCAGATACAGAGAACCAACTATACATGAATTTAGCAAGGTTGCTGGACATAAGGTCAATATATAAAAGTTAATTGTAGTTTTAAATATCAGCAACAATGAATTGAAAATGAAATTAAAAGACCCTATCTGAGTGGTGTGTAGGAAAGGAGCTCAAGAGCAAGAATTTAGTATTTGCAATGTCCAGGAGGAAGACAATGACCCTAGTGGCCATATATCCCAATTAGCAGACCTTGCCAAAGCTTACTCAAAATTGACTCTTTCTTCTGCACACACTCAACGAGAGTCTTGGTAGAGTTCTGGGACAATTCTTTCCAAGGAAATTGAGAGCTTTATATCTTAAAAGGACTGATGGGATTATCTGAGTTTAGGCCAGCCAGTCCTCGTGTGCCTGACTGCTCAAGATGAGCCAGAACTGGACTCAGTTGACCCCTTTTTGAGGGAGGGCCTGATGGCCAGCTCTTGGGGGGGCAGCGTTAGGCAACAAGACTGACAGGTACCCAATTGTACCTCAAAGACCTGATAATGGGAGAGAAGCTCCTCCTCTAAGCAGATAAGAAAGGACCCATAAATTCAGAACAACCTCAGTCCCCTTTTCCACCCTACCTGCCTGGCAAAGAAAGAAACAGTAATCCCAATTTTCCCTCCTCATTGTCCCTTCTTCCCCACTTGGTCCAGGGAGGTGGGAATGTAAAGCTTGTTTGTTTTCTGTCCATCCTATGAATGTGTGTTCTATGTAAAGGCTTATTTATTTAGAGGGAAAAGAGCCAGCCTCTACCTCTAACCCCCAGAATATAAAGTTTGGTTTAGTTCTCAATTGGACCCTATACATGAAACTACATTCTAGCTGACAGTTCAGCAGCCAGGTAACTTAACATCTGATCACTAGAAAGGTGTTTCAACCACTAGAAATTAATACATTTGCATACTAGTTCATCAATTAGGCTCTAATGAGTTTAATTATTTGGGGTGCACTAACCAAATTTAATATCTGGACATGCAGATCTCAGGACTGGATCCTAGACTGAGGCATTATAACAAGATACCTACACTATGTGTGAAGTCCCATAGCCAACTGGCCTCTGACATTTCTATATTATTTCCCTATAATTAAACAGTGATTTGGAAGCCACTTTGTATAGAAGTATAATTCATTATAATTTGGGAAAGTATAATCTGGAAGTAATTAGTCACCAACCAAGAGGGCCAATTTAAAAAATTATGATTCTAAAAAGGCTCCCAAACAAATACTAATGTCAATTTGAAACATTTTTCCAATACCAGAACTCACAAAAACAGCATCACCATATTTAATAACTCAACAAATACCTACTGAGCACCTACTATATACGAAGCATTATGTTCCTGATAAACCAGGTAATCAGCAACAGAATATCATTGTGATGAAAAAATAATGTTTTCACTAAATTACTTTGCTAGATACTTTTAACATTTAATGCAGGTAGCAAATGATCTTAACATACCTTCATTGACATCTTTGTCCTGGGATTTGGTAGAGTCAATTCCTGATGATGTTGGAACTTCAGAATCATCTGGATTTTCTTCAGATAACTTTCCTTTTTCCTGAAGACTCTGTGATTAAAAATTAATTATTCCAAAAACTAATGCAGATTTAGCTCTCTCCAGAGTATGTGGTTCTAATCCTAGCTTTGCTAAGTTGTTTTGTGACTAAGGGTGGGCAATTTATGGAAGAGGGCATTTGCCTTATTTTATATTTCTATAAAACCTGAGCTCTGCACACACCCATAGTATGTGGAACTAAAATTTGAATATTCTCGAAGTATTTCAAAGTATTTTGGTCTTTCGTCTGAATCAGTCATTTGTAAAAAAAAAATTAAATACCTTAATATCATAAATCTACACATTATATCCTAACACTTATTGATTTTTGGCAGCTGGTTAGTGAGGGAATCCAAACCCTCGACCTTGGAGTTGTAACACGGCGCTCTAACAAACTCAGCTAACCGCTAGCCCCTTATATCCTGACACTTTAAATGTAGGGATGGGGCACTTCTAGTCACATGAATTAGGAAAGAATCCTCCAGCTAACTCCAAAAGGTTCAATTACTTTTATTTTCCCTTGGACTTCGAAGAAGTGAGAAGATATTCAAAATTCAAATATTTCTTAATAAGTTCAAAAAAAAAAATGAATGAAGATGTCCTTGTTTTCGGATAATTAAGTTCATTTTTCTTGTGGAAAATTACACCATACAAGTGAGAGACTCCTCAAAAACGGGAGCTGAACCCCTCCGGTTTAGAAGTAGAGAAACTGAGGCCTAAAGAAGGGAGGTTAGTTACGCACGCACGGTCACAAGACGACTTAGTGACAAAGCTAGGACTAGAACCAGGTACTGACTACTAATCCCCCATTTAACCTATTAGCGGTAAGCTACCCTCAAATAAAAATTTAGTATTAGGCAAAAAAAAAAGGGGGGGGGGAAGGGGGCTTGCCACGGAGACAAAAGCTTTTCGGTGAGTGAAAATGTTTTTAAGAAGAGCTTAGTAGAGGGATGAGGAGTGAGAACCAGGACGGAGGTAAGAAGGGGAAGAAGCTGCTGGGAGTTCCCGGCCCGTCCCATTGCAGCAAAAGTGGACTCTGGGTCCCCCGCTTCTCTGTAAGTGTACAGGGCGACAAGAGTGGAGGAAATCCTGGCCTGTTATCTCCTCACTTTCTTCTCGCGGGTTTTTCTCTCTTCTCTCCGCCTTTCGAACTCCTCAAAGGAGATTTTCCCTTCCAGGTAGTCGATGAGTTCCGGGCTGAACCCCGACATGTCTGCAGGGTCCGTCTCTGCAGCCCCTGGAACGGGACAAAGAACCGGAAAAGCAGGGCCTCCCGCTCTCTACCTCGCGCCGGGGCAGTCAAGAAGGGACGCCGCGTCCTCCCGGGAAACCCGCCCGGCCGGCGCCGCAACCGCCGCGTTCGGGTTCCG